GCCAACAGCTGGAGGACAGGAGACAACGCAGGAAGGAGACAACGCAGGAAGCAATCACAGCAATGACAGGCCATCAATCCTCCCTCCACCACTTCCTGCGGAAAAGACTGTTATGCAAGGATCGGACTGGTGAGTCATTCCAGACTGCTCCAGGAGCAGTCTTGGCCAACCAAGGCGCCTACTACTACTACCAACAATGACAGCTAATGAAGATGGCAATTTTCAACTTACGTCTGCTCCGTTCTCACCAGGAGGTCCGGGTACACCGGGAGCACCGCGTGGACCCTGCAAAAAACCATTCATTGATTGACTGATTGATTAACGATTAATACCATACTCATCATCAAGCTTATACTCTTACTTCCCAAGCATCATTATATAACAAACATTTCCACTTTAAATCTACATCACAACGAGAGCAATTTAGCTTCACTACTGAAGTATTTAAGTGGCTTATCTCAGGAAATGGTTAAGGCCATTAGGATATGTTTGCCTTTAACGGACACTCAACACGAAAACGCAAACGTTTAAAATTGTTCTCGACTTTTGGCTTAAAAATACATAAAAGTCTAGGTTTTGAACTGCAATCTTTTATATCTCCTGCTAAACCAATTAGGGTACTTGCCGTTGCTTTTGATAAGCGATGGCCTATTCAAAACTCAGGCACGTAGTCGAATTGTTCAACATGACCAGCTCCCAGTTCACTTGACAGCTAAATGGGTAGAGCACTGCACCGGTATCGCAGAGGTCATGGGTTCAGATCCCGTTCGAGCCTAAATTTTTATCTTTTTTTTTTTTTCAGGCTTTAATTTCACAGCTGCTTAAGTTGTGTATATAACTGCGATAATCAGTCGTGTCTTCATATCTTTCTCCCTAGTTCAAACATATGATCTTTCATATATTCACTTGTATGTTCAAACTAAATCACTTAGACACCGTCTATGGCCTTGTGTTTAGCGTGTTGCTCTCTGGGTCAAACAATCTCAGTGAGTTCTACTGCTGAGGGCCAATTTGTTGTGCTCTTGAGCGAGACACTTAATTCTCTCAGTAAATGGATACAGATTGTTACACGACCTGCCATTGAAGAAGAAAATCAAATGTTGATAGGTACTCACAGCAAGGCCAGAATCTCCAGGGACGCCCGGTGTTCCAAAACTGCCAGGGGCACCCTACAAGAAGAAGCACATTTCAACACATCTAAACTAAAAGGACATGGTTTGCATGGAGTGGATTTTTTTTCCTCAATAAACAGTGTAATCAGTTGACTAAATCTATTTTGAAGTGACCTTAAAGCAAATTCAAACATGATTCGGATAACCCTCTCAAACTCATTAATAATTCCTCAAGTTTATCAAGGAAATCATGAACGTGACGGTGTTTGGATATCAAATCTTAATTAGCATGGTTTTTTACGTTTTTAATTTCTCTGTTTTCTCCTTAGTTTTAGTTTCGATTGAAAAGATATTAATTTATACCAAACACTCAAGAAAGTGTTTAACCACATTTCCAAACACCCCGGAGTTTGTCCAAAATACTCCGCTGCGCGTCGTATTTTCAACTCTCTTCTCAGTGTTTGGAAATATGGCCAAACACGGTCTTTCGTGTTTGATATATCACTTCATCCAACGTCATTACACTTACAGAAAAACCGCCATTGAAACTGTTTGAAGTTAACTTTGCTCATGCCATAAGAGTGCATGAGTCGATTATACTGCACAATTACATATAGAGAGTTTGATAGTGCGGCTTTGCCCGCTGCGTTGTAAGTATTGTTAGAATACTTTGCTTTTACCCGTATGGTGTATAAATACACTCTTTTTTTTTTTTAATAAGAATATTGTTTTTCCGGCCGAGGCTGAATACTCTTATTTTTCAGCCGATTTAAGAGTGAAAATATTCTTGTGAATATTCTTAGATTATACCGTATGGCATTTCTGTTTTCGATTGTATTTGGTGTTTGGATGGTGTTGAAGTAATTTTGGAGCCAGCCTACAGACATTATATATGGGTTATTGACCAAGTGTGAGGTCAAGATGGCTGGATATTGGCCAAGTTCTTTTTTTGCGTGTTTATGGACCGTGACGGAGTNCCCGAGCGGGCAAGATAACTCCATCTTGCCCGCTCGGGTAGCCAATCACAGCGCAGGATTTGATTCATCTTGCCCGCTCACGGAGTTAGCCATATAATGAAGCTTGATATCACACAGATAACTTCTCGCAGAAATGTTATTAGCATCAAACACACGGCTAGTGCTGTTTTTGTTGCTTTTTAGCCAAGTTTGCCGTTTAGAGAAAGGAAGAATTTTATACGGTTTAGTTAAAAACATATAATTGTATTGTATTTACCAATTTTCAACAAACAAATTTAAATTATATTCTTTTCAAAATCTCAGACTTGGATTCATTCTTAAAATATTCTAAAAATTTCACAAATTTCAGCCTCGAAATTCTTATAAAACATATTCTTGTAAAAAAAAAAGAGTGTAAAAGCTGTTGTTGGTTTCGTTATTGTTGTTGTTGTTGTTGTTGTTGTGTACATACCCTTGATCCACGCTCACCGGGGGCACCGGGAGCTCCGGGTGTTCCTGCAAATCCCTGTCAAGATCAGGCAGTAAAAACACATATTAACTTCTGAGAAAGGTTTTGCGGTTTGAAAAGCCGTCGTATGTGATTGCATTTCTATCACCATGCAACTCCCTCATAAATATTTCTATCTAACATAGAAACATCTACATGTGAAACCTTTTCCGTACTTCCTCTAAAATAGATCTCACTTAATATCCGGTTTACGTAAATGTAACTAACTTTCGTACTCTTCCCTTTGGAGTTTGCAGAGTTTTTACTATCATCAATTAATATGCGACTAGAGATGAACAAGATTATTCTGCATCACATAGGCTTCAAACTGCAATACGAGACAGTGGTGCTGTAAGATACTTAACATATTTCCCCCCTGTTCCCCATTTTGCCCAATGTGTCCCAACAAGACAGAGGTCTAGTTGGCAATTAACAAAACACTCTGCACAGCAGGAACTGAATAAATCTCACACGCGAAAATGAGCCACCCAAAAAACCATCAACAAAAAAACCCTGCGCATCCAGAATTTTTACAAAATATTTTTGTTTAAGAAAATGTTCCCCCACCACTTGCCGTGTAAAAAATGGTGTCTTAGGGAAGAGGTAACAACTGCTGTTCGTACTAACTAAGTATGGAAACTAGAGCGAAAAGCCTTTTAATCTATACCACATTCAAACATGGGGCACTTTCCATTCAACCAAAAATTCCGAAATTTTAGAAATGGGGCCAAATGGTACAGAAATTTCCTGGAAAAGGTTCCAGAAAATCCAGAAATTGTTGAATTTCCGAAAAAAGAACAATTCAACCGAAAATTCCGCAAATCCCAGAACGAAAATCAAATGGAACAGAAATTTCCAGGAAAATTTTTTCGATAATTTGGGTATACATGTACTTGAAGAGGTTGTCCTCTTTTTCGGGAATTATGTTAATTCGCCATTTTCTATGCAGCACTAGTTCTTTTGTCTATTAACACAGTGAGTAGGGCATCCCACGAAAAGATGACGGCGACGCGTATTAGAAAATGGATTATTTAACAATTAGACCCGTAGCCCGAAAGGGCTACGGGTCAAAAGCCCATCATTTTCCACTCTGGTGCAGTCAACCGGAAAATTATGTTCCATTCCGAAAACGTTTGGTGAATGGAAAGCGCCCAAAACTTACTTCAGCCCCTGTATTCAGAAATAAGCTCAAAGAGCTCTTTGATTTTCTCGTGTTTTTGCTGTTAGCTCTCTGCATGCACTTCAGGCCTATGCAGCTAAATACGCACCCTTTTGCCATCCCTTCCGGGGTTTCCTCGGGCTCCGGATGGACCAGTGTCTCCCTGTGATAAAAGACAAAAAAAATATTAAGGCCACTTCCCAAACTCATCACTAATTCATTAAGTTTAAACAAAGGACATCATGACCGTGACGGTGTTTGAATATCTGATCTTAGATTTTTACGATTTTATTTCACCGTTTTCTCCTTAGTTTTAGTTTCGACTGAGAAGATATATCAAGCATGAAAAACCGTGTTTGACCACATTTCCAAACACCTCGAAGTTCGTCTTACACACTCTGCTACGTGTCGTATTTTCAACTCTCTTCTCGGTGTTTGGAAATGAGGTCAAACACGGTCTGTTTGATCTATTACTTCAGCAACTAGTGTTTTAGTGTTTATGATCATGCCTAAAACGTTATGATTCAGCAGAATTCTTTTTGTGAGTGTGATCTGAATAATTTCAGATGTCAAAATATAATAATAACATATTAAATTATAATACATCAAAAATTTTTGCGCGCGATCGGTCTAAACGCGTCACGTGACTGAATATTTCCCAGCTAAAGTTGCTAAATATCCGAGTGACATTCCCAAATTTTCAAAAATGCGCGTGTTTCGAAAAATATTTGAAGGATAATAAACACAATAACCTCCATTTGATGCGAAAATATCGACGGATACTTGTCTTTGGATATTATCTGTTCGTGAAAGCTCTCAGTTTCCGCTTCTCGGAACAAACTACTCTCTTCTCGGAAGCTCTCGCTTCGCGGAACAGATAATTTGATATTTTTCGCGCCAAATGAAGGCTACTATTTATTTATTCTAAATTGTGTTTAAGGGAATCTTGGCTAAAAAAATCTTTTGTTCCAAATGACAAGTTGATGGTTGTTTTTAACTGACCGCGCAATGACGTCATAAATTACCATTAAGTACACATGGGGTCGCCCTGGTGATTTTAACTGAAAATTAAACACTTTGCATTCAAATCACTAACAGAGATATCAACTTAAAGTTTAAGAGAACCATCAGGTATACTTTGGAACTTTAGCTGTTTTCCATCCAAGATTCCCTTCAACAGACAGTTCATTTCATTACGTCACATCAAATTCACACAGAAATCTCAATGCCACCCTGAAAGAAGTTTCAGAGTCAATGGATTTCGCTTTTAAACACTAATTGCTTAGCTATATACCATCGATAATGGGTACGTTAACAATGCTCCCCCCCCGACACTTACTGTATCTCCTTTGCTTCCAGGGGGACCTGGTGGGCCAGGACGTCCAGGTGGACCCTATATAAGAGAATATTTGACAAGTTAGTTACACAACAAGAGAGTAGCAGTCAATGATTCATTTATATTTATAGTTAACAGCTTACGGCTGAAAGAAAGAGCTATTCAATTGTCCCCCGGTTTGCATGTAGCTGCATTAACTTACTTGTATTCACTTTGATCAAGTTCTGATTTATTTTTAAGTCGTGCCGGCTTTTCAGTGTTTGGCCTCTCAATGGAACTTCACACAATTCAGTGTCGTGTTTCACATTAGCACAATCAATCAATCTTTATGCACAGGCACAGACATGTGCATTAAAACTAATCTAGCCAGACACATGAATTAAAATAGCTCTCATTCCTTATGTTTACTTGCAATTCAAGAGAAAGACTTTGTGTCAAGTTGCAACTTTGTTCGGTCAGCGGTCTCCAGAACTCACCGATGCCCCAGCATTTCCTTGCGAGCCCTGAGGGCCTTTTTCGCCACGTTCTCCCTGAAACAAGAAGCACACTGTTAATATTGTAAACAGGACAACACGACGCTTTACAGATAGAAACAAGAAGCTTGAAGAGGCTAGAAACTTGCTTTTGAAGTCTGATCTAATCATTTTTGATCGAAAGACGTGAAAAAGATAAGTCCGTGGTTTGTGTAATTACCTGATGACGTCACCTGTTAATTTAAGCTACAATGCCTCAAAAACATTTTTGTCAGCCTTGCAAAAATACTCAGTTAGCAGGGTTGTCGTGAAATTTTCAAGTAGGCGGCTTTATTGCTGAAATAGGTGGCTGATTTTGCCACCTTTGTTTAAAGATAACAAAATCAGCTATGCTAAACATTCACTATCTTGTTACAGGAGTTCATCTGAATCCTGAGTTTATCTCTTTATTTTAACTCATTAACTCAAGCTGCAGAAAAACTCACAGGTGTTCCATCCACTCCATTCTCTCCAGGTTTTCCCTTTTCACCTTTTACACCCTATAAATAACAATAACAACACATCTGAGCTATCGTCTAAGTAATGGTAATATTCACCTATAAATGAAGAGGAGAACTTACAACCTAAAAAAACTGTAACCATAAGAAACCTGTAACAGGCGACAATATTGATCCTTTTGTTTTTGGCAGATGGCGCCTATTTCAACCCTTTCCTCTGAAATCAATGTTGTATTTCACTTAGTAAGATCTTTCCCCCAATCTCAAAACACTGGATGAGCGGGCAGGGGTTGTTGGGGGTGGGGGCTATTGCAGTATGTTGTAGTAAAAAGTTAGTGAAAATATCTGCCTCTTCAGTAAGGCAACATGGTGACGTTGCTTTTTGATCCTTTGATGTCGACTCTTCCTATCATTGCAAAGTAGAATTCGCCAAGAGATGGATTGTTGACCAATCAGTAGGGAACAAGAGCTGGGTTTAGACCGTGATAAGACAGGTTATAGCTTTATTTCAAAGATGGCCTGTGACTCGCACATAAGTACATGTAGCTGCACAGAAAAATGACCAGTGAGTGTCAATGGACCAGACTTTTACATCATCAGCTGACAAACATATTTCCCTTAATTCTGAAGATGACTTCGATTTAAGATTATTTCTACTTTTATATCTATGTTCATGCCATTATTCCTAATTTTAAACTTCTACATTGTTGTTAACCTCACCGGTTCGCCTTGAGGACCTCTCTCTCCTTGTGGTCCGACAGAGCCCTGTCATAAAATTAATGATATCGATTAACATCAATCAATTATAACATCCCCACGTTACTGTGGAGAATACTCCAAATAAGGTTAACTTAGTTCCAAAACTTTGTTAATTCAAGTCCTCTTTCCTCCTTGACACAACAAAATCTTTTAACTCAGTACCTTGGCTCACCATGCATGGGATCAACAAATGCTTTTCATTTAGCTATTCATGCATTTTCTGGTGCCATGCTTTCTCCTATAGCTTAACTCACTACTACATTCACTATATCAACACAAACAACCCACAGTCCGCAACTTTGCTAACACTCAAAACATCAGGTTTGCAAACCCATTATGGCGTTTAGTTTACATTTTACCAGTTCAAGTTGATAAATAGCGGTAGTCAACCCAACAGTGTCTTAACAAACTAATACTGTTTTACTTCATGGAATGTCAATTTTGCACTTTAATTAAGTGCATATGACAGTAACATTTATCACCACGCCTCTAAATTCTGAATTCTGTCCTAATGGAGGGGTAACAAAAAAAACATTTTTCTTTATGGGATATTTTTCACCTCGAATAATTTTCTTACAAAGTTGAACTCATCAGTTGTATTTTGACTCTTACTTCAGGCTCACTGAACTATTGCAAGACTCTTAAAAGTTCTTTAAATATACTGAGAGTAATATTTAAGACATACAATTGATAATACTCGATACTTTTATCAAAGTTAAGAACAAAAAAAATTCATCACTAACAGGGTCTCCAGGGATGCCATCTTGTCCTCGCTCTCCAGGCGGGCCCTACAGGAAAGGCAAAAAAAAAAAAATACTTTGGCCTTAACTTGGTGCAGAAGACACAGTTGATGTAAAACAATAGAGAACAAAAGGACAAAAGAATGAAAACAATAGGTTTGTGGAGCGGTGTTCCTGACACAACAACTACGCTACACTGTTTAAGCACTGAACTTGTTTTGATCAGGGCCAGGTTGTTCAAAGCCCGATTAAGCTAACCCAGGATTAGCGGGAATTTTGGTTCCATTTTGTAACTTTTTGGTGAGGTTTTCTGTTTGTATTGTTTTTCCTTCAGTTTTGAGCTTGAGTAATCTCAAACTATACAAAATATAAGCAGTGGAAAACATTTTTATAGAAGAAAAATTCATACTTGGGTTAACTTTTAATCCTTGGTTAGGGTTAACCGGCTTTTGAACAACCCGGCCCAGTAGCATAAATCAGATTACACACTTAATGTTGTTGTAGTTGGTTCAAACAGTGTTAACTCCATGATCACTCTTTATAAAAACACTTTGTGGAGGCCGCGTGGCTGAGTTGTTAGGGTGTCTGGATGTCACGGGTTCAAGTCCTGCACTGGCCAATTAGCTGAAGTTGTTTCTCGGTTGACCCTAGATCAACTCCTCAATCATGCTTGTAAATAGCCAACTGGTCTGCCTCACAGCTGCCAGCTGGGATTTTTAAGCATATTATGTTCATTTGAAATATTTGTTTCTTTCAGATTAAGTGGCATGCCTGTGAACTAGCTAGATGTAGCAAAGCACATTGACCACTATGAACAACAACATTTGAACATTTGAATTTTTCTTTTTTGAACAAATAACAAAGTAAGGATGGTTGAAACCAGAGTAAAATAAAGTGATGTGCTAATCAAATGTTCTCTCTACAAACAAGCTGGGGCAAGTATTCCTCTTTACAAGATTCAGATGATTTTGACATTACCGACTTTCCATCTGGTCCAGGGGCACCAGCCGCGCCAGGTTCACCTTGGGCTCCCTGTGTAAATGAAGCAGCTTGTCAGTTTTATCACAGTTTGAGACAAACAGTCCGCCAGGGCTTAAACATTAATACAAAGAATTTCTACACCTCTGCAGTCAGTATATGGCTAGAAAGTGGGTATAAAATGCACATCTTGCAGACATGCATTTTAGAAAATAAATGTAAATGCTTAGTTTATGTCACAGACATTTATAAACCTGTCTGCTCTAGTATCATTCAGTGAATGAGGCTCACTTAAGATATGTGGAACTTCTACAGAAATGTTCGTTACTAATATCTTTATGCAAGCCTAAAGTTCTGATGATGGGTTGGTAATAAAGTCAAATCTAAGCTTTCATTACACATTACACAAAATGATCTCTGACCCTTTAACTGGGAATGAATGGTTAAAACAGTTACTTACCATTAGTCCTGAAGGACCAACTGGGCCTGGAAAACCTCGCAGACCAGGAGCACCCTAACACACACACACGAAAAAATGAATATATTATTCCTTCACAACTCAGGCTGCTAATTTGTTTGCGTCTAAATACACACACTTCTGTCAGCACAGCATACTCACATCAGCTCCAGGTGTCCCAGTTTCTCCTCGGTCTCCAAAATCACCATGGGCCCCCTGTGGTGTAATGTAAAGACTTCTGGTCAGGAAGTTGACAGAACAAATGATAGTTTTAAAGGCCATGTACTAAGTTGCAAGTACATTGCCCTTAAATAAAACCTAATATAGATCTAAGTTGTAGGGTATAGGGGCACTGTCCTCTCATCTTTAGTGCACTTGACTCTGATTCAAACAGTCCAAGTTCGAACCCTGGCTGAGGACACAGTTTCATGTTCTTGGGCAAGACTCTCTTTTCACCATTACTGTCTCTTTCCACCCAGGTGTATAAATGGGTAGTGGCAAATTTAATGCTGGGGGTAACCCTGTGACACACTAGCATCCCATCCAGCAGGGAGTGGAAATACACCTTGTCGCTTCATTCTACAGAAACAGAGATAAGTGCCAGCCCGATGGGCCACTTAAACACGTATGCAGACTTTACCTTACTTAGTTGTAGGAGGGAAAGGGCCTAATGGCATAGTATATGTTGGCTTCCTGGGTTTGAGCCTTGGCTGTGATCACTGTGTTGTGAAATCACTCTCACAGTACACAAAGGGCAAGGTCTGAAAGCAAAATCCTGGAGGAAGGGGAGGGAGCCCTACTCCTGGTCACTTCGTGTGAAAGGTTGTACATGTAGCTGGCCAGACTATGTGTGCAAACATGACGTATGGTTCATACCTGAGGGCCTTTAGGTCCAACTGCACCAGAAGCTCCTGCCTTTCCAGGTGCACCCTACAAAAATACACAAATCAGTAGTTTGGTTCAGTAATTACAAGCAGTTTACAATGGAAAAAGCAATGGAAACTGTGTAACAACACCCCTCTAATACACACCTGTTCTCCTTTCTTGCCAGACATTCCCATGCCACCATTGGGTCCAGGAGGGCCCTGTTGCACAAAACATTCATCATATAAGTATTACTCTGACTATCCACAAACCAATAATTTATTATGCAAAATAAGTGTTATTATCAGTTAAAGAACAAGGTAATCGAGAAATTTGCCCTCAGTTACATGCTTTTGTACTGGATTTTATTCCTCGATTTCAAACTCCAACATAAATAGGAAATGGAGAGATAGAAGACGTTTGCACACAGACTACAATCGGGACAAAAGTACATGTACACTGTAGTTGCCCAAAAACAAACCTTCTCATCAACCCTTCTCATATTCCCCCTCCCCCTTTACAATGATATAACCATGTGTTGTTCAGTATCGCCAAAGCCTGTTTCACAATTGATTGGGGGAGGGGGTGAGGGTGGCTATTAATGAAAAAGGTGTTCTTTTTTCTATAAAGGGAAGTACAGATCTCTGTTTGAAAAGGTCCCATTTGAAAAAATATCTCAACACTTTTGTCCCTGATTTTCTACAATGCCTTTGAGAATTGGGGAAGGATAATAGAAATCAGGAAATTAAAGGGGAGACATAATGCCTCAGAAGAGAACTTTTAAAATTATAGGATTGAATTGTCTGTTAAAATGTACTGCCTTTCATTTCTAAAAGGATTTGGGACTTTCCAATTATTTCTGTCTATTAGTTCTTAGTATATATCTACTAGCATTCTATGACAAATGACATTCTCTGATTGGCTACACTACTCACTATCTGTTCTGTTGTAGATAGTGGGTAGCGTAGTAGTGTGCGCTTCTTAACCAAATGACGGCAACTTCTTTGCATTTTCGCGGTCTCTGTGAAGAGGATTTACATGTAGATAAAGTTTCGAATGACCAGTAGATTTATACTAAAACAATACGGTTATTCGCTCACAATTTCAATTAGTGAACGTCAACTTTGGCTGCACCCTCATCAACTATCATGTCATAGAAATTTTGAGCTCATAATCTAATTGTTTGTTAGAACAGAAAGGTACTTGCAAAATATAACAAGAAGTGATACGAACCGGTGGTCCAACTTTACCCGGTTCACCATCCTTTCCGGCAGCACCCTGTGAAAGAATAGGAAAAAATAGATGAGCAATAGTAACTACACTTATTAACTGAGAGTGCAAGGTCTTTACAGGAAAATCTCACACTGAGACCTTGTGGTATTGACCGAGCAATAGCGAGTTGTATTTTATGCTTGTATTTTTAGTTGTATTTTAGTACATGTTTCAGTGTCATAACAGGCAAGTTTGGTCAAGCCATGGAGAGTATTTTGGCGAAAACGTAGTCAAGCCAAACTACTTCTGTTGAGTTATAGTGAAGAGCATCCTTTGAAGTAACTGACAACAAATAGCACCAAGACAATGCAACATTCTTCCATCCAAGATAATCACTAATAAACAGCAATTCGGCACCAGTTTTGGAAAATAAACTTACAACTTTCCTTTTCCAAAAAGTATTTTAATTTATAACTGTTTTCAGAGAATTTTTTTTGATTTGCAGGTTAATTGCTATTGTTTTTTCTGTTAATGTATCATAACTTTCAATCCAAAATTAAAGACCTGTGTTTCTACACCCTCTAGGAAACTAGTGCTATAGAAATGTTTTAATAGCACTTTGATTAAGAACTATGATACACCACTATAACTTTGTAACGCAAACCCTTCAGGTGACTTCCTGACTTCTCACTCATTCAAAAAGGGCATTTTGCTTGTAGCAAGTTTAAAAACTTTCACGTCATATGATCTGCATGTCATGGACAAGACAAACCCAGGAAACTGGTCAAAAAATTTGTTTCGGGTGTCCTCAATTGCAATTGATGATCCACAAGGCCTTGGAATAGACAAGAGTAGAAATGAGTTGCTAACCTTCTCGCCATCTCGTCCGTCAGATCCGGGATCACCAGGTGCTCCGGAGGGTCCCTGTTCACAAACAGGAAAAACAAGTTTCAGAACTACAAGTCACGTTCTTATTAAGTATTTGAGTTACAAAGTCTCAGAAAGACAATCACCAAAACTTTCCAGACCTTTAAAAATAGCACTTAACATGATACAACAATTGTACCCTTAGACACCCATTGTGGCCCTATGAAAACAGCCACCATAGGCCTGCAATGTTGGTCGCGAGTTATGGTAGCTGCAGGCTTTTTCATGCATTGCAACCTTTGAAAATTGGCCAGGATGAGCATGTACACATGCAGTTAGTGTGCAAGAGATGGCCCTTTGCATGCATTGTGAACCCTTACAAAGGTCATCATAGGCCTGCAATGAGTGCAAAGAGCAAGTAAGAAATGGCCCTTTGCATGCATTGCAGACCGTTTACAAAGGTCATCATAGGCCTGCAATGGGGGTAGAAAGCAAGTAAGAGATGGTCCTTTGCATGTATTGCAGACCCTTTATAAAGGTCATCATAGGCCTGCAATGAGTGCAGAGAGGAAGTAAGAGATAGCCCTTTGCATGCAATGCGGCCCTTGATATGGGGTCCGCAGTTTGTGCAGAGAACAATGTGAACTGAAGCCCTTGACACATATTGCAGGCCAAAGACACTTGCCATTAATTAAAGTGACATTTTGACACTCACCCTTGGACCAAATAAACCATCTTCGCCTGGAACACCATCAGGACCCTGTAATAATAATACGCATAAACACAGTTTGAAATGAACTGCTTGCACTTGAATAGTGAGCAAGACACTTGGAGAGAGAGCTGTGTGTTTATTCCAAAGTACAGTTGGACCCCGCTAATTCGAACTCAGTTATTTCAAATTCTCTGTTATTTCAAATTCAAAACCATTTCCCTTGGGTTTGCCCTTCAGTCATCTACCATTGACTATTTCAAACTCCTGCTATTTCGCACTTTTTTTTTTTGTTTCCCCCAAGAGTTTGCAATAGCAGGATTCAACTGTATTTATAGCAGCCAAGATGACATTGCTGATGAATGTTTGGAATTTAAACTCATTTGGCTGCAGTCCTTGCCTTGGTTGGACAATATTTGAATTCCCCAAACTTGCCATTAATGGCAGGAGACAAAACAACAAACTAATCTTAATACAAATATCAGAGTGGAAGAATCAATAATATTAGTACAAGTGCTAGAAATGAGTAAATACACAAAACAGATAAAAACATGTCAAAATCATGAATACCCTACCCGTTCTCCCTTTTGTCCATCTTGGCCACTGGCTCCTGGTTCTCCTGAAGCACCCTGTTCAAATTAAGATTTGTGTTACAGATGGCTAGGACACACCTTGTTCTCTCGCATAGCAGCCTCAGTAAACACCAGGGGTCTCTCGTCACATGATTAGTATAACCAAAATGCATGAAAAACTATAGATATCAAAAGAAAACTAGAAAACTGGAGGATGAAAGATTGCAACAGAATAATTCCAAGTGAAGATAAAGGAATTCTGGCAGATTCACTGGTATTAAGACCAACTTTAAACAGATAACTCTATCATGTTAATTCAACTCTGGCACTTAAATTTGCTTGTTTCTATAGTGTTTTCGTTCTTTATTAAAATCTGTTTTCTAGTTTTTTGAAAACCTGTAACCGTCATTGCTGTATTAGCTACATTATAAGTTCAAATACAACCTGTAAGCTTTCATTCAACAACCAAAACCTGTCTCATTACATTAACATCAAATCTGCTATACTCTTTCTTCAAGTCATAGCCAGTCTGCTTCTATCCAGATCTTACATGCTTTTATCCAGATCCTATTTTAAAACCACTTTTTTTCTATGACCACCTTGTCATCATACGATAGCTACTTCAATCTCTCCCACACATTCCCTCAGTCAGTTGTTCTCTCGATTGAAGATTCTCTTTAGTTCAACCATCCTGTTAATACAGTACCACTGGGTTTTGGTGACCTGCTAATGGTTGAATTAAGAGATTTCCACTGTGCAGTGGAACTTATTTATCTTTAAATGTGTCTCAAACAACATTACATTTCTAAGGATTTACAGAGTGCTGTGGAATTGATCTAGTTTTAACGTACATCTTGGCCAGGAAGTCCTGCAGCTCCAGCAGCTCCTGGGGGACCACGCTCACCCTAACGACAAACAACAAAATGCAGTGTAAAAAGTGTTGCTTAAGTCAAACAAAATCACATCCATTTTTTGTACACTCACGTAAAATAAACATTTCTGAAACTCATTAATTAAGTCATCAGGTTTTCATCAAAGGGAATCATGACCACGACAGTGTTTGGATATCTGATCTTAATTAGAATAAATTTTTACGATATAATTTCTCCTTTTTTCCCCATAGTTTAAGGTTTCATTGAAAAGATAATTTTTATCTAACACTCCAGACAGTGTTTGACCACATTTCCAAACACCTCGAAGTTCATCAAACATACTCCACAACATGACGCCTTTTCAACTTTCTTCTCGGTGTTAAGAAATGCAGGAAGCATGGTCCAGTTCGTCAAAAATACCCTGGTATCAGTTTTATTCTCAACTCTTTTCCCAGTGTTTGGGAGTGTGGTCAAACACAGCCTTTCGTGTTTGATGTATCACTAAACCGTTTCTTTAAACAAAGACAACATGTTGTACCAGGCATATCTGTTGTCTGACTGTTTTTTTTTTTTTATACTTTTCATGACTTTGTGCATACATATTGTGGTGTATGCTACCAACAATATTATTTTTGTATCACTGCAGTCACATTGGCAAACAAAGGCTTAACATGAATTCTGTTCAATGTTAATCACTTTTACTAAAACAATTTGCCATCCAAAACAAAAATAACCCAGCGAAATAGGCCATTTCCGACTTGCCTTTTGCACACAGGTTCATTTCCATGCAAATCAAGAATACTTTCATATGAAAGGTTTTGCATGAAGACTTGTTTTGAAAAAGAGGCACAAGGTAGCTTGGAGATGGCCTACTGAACTTGCTATTTCCAACTCCCCAATATTCATGTGAGGGCCACTGGTTTTTCAGTGATTACTGTTGTGTGCTAGTACCCTCAATAAATAAAATTGGTTATTTATTATTATTTATTATTTTAAACTCTAAGCCATATCCCCAAGAGTTGTTCTGTTTTTGCACTCATTTACCACCAGCTATTTCAAACTCAGTTTATTTCAAAAACCCCTCACTATTTTGAAATGATTTTAATTTGTTTCCCTAACCCAAAAATTAATCCCATTTATTTCACTTAACTCCATTGATGGACTGTGTAAGATCTGACACAGCTAGCCAGAACACCACATTTTCACCTTTTCTGATCACAAGAATCTACTTTTGTACAACACTGTATAGTTAAATTTATCTTTAGGTGTTCTCTCAGGACTAGCCCATGGATCAGTAAAAAATTGCAGGCATCCTTGAACAATAAAATTGCAAACTGTATAGCTGGGCTTCTTGCAAGCAAACTCTTTTATTTCTCCTCACCGGAGGTCCTTGTTCACCAGATGCTCCCAAGGCTCCTGGCTTGCCGCGACTTCCCTGGAAAAAAATGTTATGATTGAATGTAATATAATTGTAGCTTCAATTTTAGAAAGCTAAAATATTGAAATCTTCGTTCACATGCACAACACACAATCTTGAACAAAACCAACATTTCAACCTCTATGTTCTCTACATAAGAAGTGAGATGAGCAGAGATATCATATTCCCATCCCCCAATAAGATTGCTTCCTACTGTCATGCGAGCATTTCCAACCCATATTTGAATTTTTCCCAGGATTTCCAAGGGAGTTTTAAGGTGGCTGCAGGCAACAATTTCCATCACTTTCAGCCGTTATACTTTCACAGATCAATACTACAACTCCTTATCAACTGATATTACAAATATTGATATCATTTGAATGCCCAATCATCGGTGAACAAGTTGTAGTCATCATCATGGCATAATAGGTTACCATTACAGCTACAATACAACCTGTTAAAAACACCCTTAATTTTACCTTTGAGTTGTATATTTAAGACATCCAAGATAAATAACAGAACACGACACTTTATTGAACAGGAACATACAGTACATGTATGTGTTTAATTGGTGTGTAACACAGAGATCATTCAACAAATGTGACTCACTTGCCGTCCTGGGGGACCTCGTGGCCCTGGTTCACCCTGGGGGCCTGTATCACCCTAAAAAGTGGAATTAACAAGCATATGTCATCATCATCATCATTGTCATCATCATCATCAATATCACTGCAACACAGTGACATGAGACCACTAGTGTAAGTTAAATATTTTGCTCCAATTACAAAATAGTACATGTACATGTAGCACCAGAGTGGAGTTGTTACCAGCTCACTGCCAACTGATTAGTCAGTGTCAAAGAGTTTTCTCCATTATCATAGCATGGTTCTAGGCTTGAGCTAGCTGCCTCCACCCTGCCCTCTCCCAACAATATCGAAAACGTTTGCCTGACGCCAACAAATATTTCTCACTCCATTGTGCACGTGCCCTTTATAAGGTCTTGCTGTTTGTTGGTTCAGACACGTTTACTTTTAAACTTTTCATGTAAAATTGTCCAGAATCGCAGTTTCTACTGCTTGAATCTTGTTACATGGTGTAACCTTGAGGATCTGTTAACAGATCTTTGTGATCAATCTACGACACATGAACACTATACCTACCCTTTCGCCACTCTCACCAGGAAGGCCGGGAGGGCCTGATGATCCAGTCTCACCCTAAATAATAAAAAAATAATTTTTAATTAAGTTAATGGACTTAGAAATGGCAATAGTTTGATAGGAATCTTACTCCTGCCACTTGTACTACTACATGAATATGCAGCTATAGACAAGGATAAAACGAGTTTCCCTTTGCTATGCATGTGAGTATTAATGTTATTGTTTGAAGTCACGATCAAGCAAGTTGACAAAACTAGGGGACTGCACTGCAACATCACATTTGCAAGTGTGGAGAGGAGCTGTTATCAGAAGTTATAGGGATAGCATCGCAACTGATAATATCAAGTGTCAATACTATGGTCAGGAGCTTGCTACAGCTATACTCTCGCTGAAGTTGTACTTAACATCTATAAACATTTGAGGAGATGTCTCAAAACATTATCCTTTTATACATGTATACCTGGGCTCCTGGTGGCCCAAAGGCTCCATCTTCACCAGGATTGCCCTGTAGTAATTAAAAAAACAACTTGTAAAAATGAATGAATTTCATAGAACATGAAAAGCAGTTTTCACTTGAGCGTTGAAAGCAATTAGATAGTAGAGCAATATTTTCACTTGAGTGTTGAAAGTAATGCACAATTAAAGTAGTTTTCATTAGTGAGTGTTGGAAGTATAACTCTCAAGTAGAGCAGGTTTCACTTGAGTGATAAAACTACTGCTGTTACATGTAAATTGTGCATTTGTTTTGCCATTTTGCTGGCTCAAGGAAGGGACACATAAACATACAATAATACAGTCTTTTATGGAGGAGCTGGGGAATACATCCATGATTGAAGACAATACCATGGACCTGTAAGTCAAGGGTTTACATGTTTCACTAGCAGGAATTACACGTAGTTACCCTACACAAAGCAGTTAGTTATATAGAGCCGCACTTACTGTTACAGCCATACTGGAGAATAATGAGCGAGCGAGCTCATGGGACTGTACAGGAGAATATCAACCATATACATTGTAAATCTCACTGCACTTAATCCATTCATTGTACAATCCTGACCTACGGTCGATAATCTATCAGGACAGTGCTCACACTTGTTTAATAACATTTTACATATTAACAATATTGTTTGCTGTCATACCGGTTTTCCTGGGGCGCCTGGTAATCCCTGTGGTCCAGTCGGTCCAGGATCACCCTAAATTACAAAAAAATAGCAAACATATTATGTCAGAATTGTTGGTGGAGAGATTTTCCACTGTAAATGACAGTTAAAAGACAATTATAATATTCTTATATATATTTCTTTGTTGTTCCTGCTTTACCTGTGCTCCTTTCTGCCCTTCCTCGCCATCTTGACCAGGAGCACCCTACAAGAGATGAGCAATGAGTTATCACTTCATGGAAATTTTTCATGTTAAAAGTTCCCTGGATATTGCACATTAGTGGCTTGACACTTAAATAAACCTATCCATGTTTGTTTTGTGTACCACTTAAAAAATGTATAGTTCCAGAAAATATTCATACCTCCCCCATGGAAGGGACTTTTTTCTAAGACCCNCCCCCCACCCCTCTGGAAATTCCAATAAAGCTTCACACATTTCTTTATAAATAAATTTTTTGGTCTTACAGAACCCCCCACCCCCCAGAAAATTCCAATCCCTTCTGTGGGGAGAGTATGGATATTTTCTGGAACTGCATAATTGCAAAAGCTTTAAATTTATCACAACAAAAAAGAGACGATGGTTAAAACCAGTTTAGTTGAATCCAGGTGGCAATAAATAAATTAAATAGAAACCGTAAAAGGAAAGGGTGTGGCATTATTTACATCAGTTCCTCTTTCTCCCTGGGGTCCCTGTGCACCTCGTCGTCCTGGTAAACCCTGAATATTAAAAAAAGTCAATTGTGAGCAACATGTTTTAAGACCAACCTTATTACCAATGCAATTGATATAATTTTCAAAAATCTGCTGCATAAATTTAACCAAGTATCATTACAGTAAGGATATTCGAACCGTGAACACTTGTACATTTTTTTTACATCTTTTCAGATGACCATAGAATAAAGCCTCTTCATGTAATGTACATAATGTTAGCATTTTTAAAGTGTAAAAACACTTAATACTCCTGTTAAAAGGAAGAGCCTGCATTCTATGGTCACTAAAACAATGTTCAAAAAATATCAAGTGCAATAAAATCAAATCAAATATCAAGTGCAATAAAAATACAATAGTAAGAATAAAATATGCATGTTATAAACACATGCAAGCGTTGATTTGCCATTCATTAAGTTAACAATTATATTGTCAACTGACCTGTTTGCCCCTTTCTCCCTCGACACCTGGGTCACCTGTGGCTCCTTTCGCTCCAGGAAGACCGGGCACCCCAGGTGTTCCCTGGACACCTTGGGGTCCCTGTGCATAAAAAAAAAGATCAGTAGAATTATAATTGTTCCTAATAATCAATTGAACATGCCACAGGTCACCAAGAGTTGTTGGATTATGAATCTGGAGGTCCAGGGTTAACAACCAGTTGGGTTGTAATTTTGTACTCTTGAATGAGCAAGACACTTTTCTGTCTTAGTACTAAAAGTATACATTAAACATTCATTCATGACAAGTAGTTACAAATTTATGGTTATGTTGCCGGGAGAACTAACCAATAAAATACCCTAGCAAAACATTCCCAGGAATTCAAATAATATTTGAATCATGCCTAAGCTTGTGGTTTTTGGAATTAACTGTATTACACTGTCAGCGGTCTAGCATATTACACTATGAATAATAAATTCCAAACAGATTGAATGGCGTAACATATAAAACTTGTGGACATTTAACAATTCAAATAATTATATTTAATAATATTAATGAGATGAGGCGAAATAATGATGAGAAATGATTTATTCACAACTCATTTGTTATTAATATTGGTTCTCACAATTCTTCTCACCCCAATAGGGATCAAAAAACACTAAATTACCAAACTTTGCCCAATATTCATGACTACCCATTATTTTTAAAACCATTCAATAAGTCATTTAATAACTCTTCTAAAATAATGTGAAAACTTTTTACTTACAGGTGCGCCAGCTGGACCGGCACTTCCGCGGGATCCAAGAGCTCCCTGAAAGAGGAATAATATTAATTTTATTAATTACAAACTAAGATAAAAAATAAATAAATTGGAATCCCACAGTAAGGCTTTTTGTCCAGTGCTTCCAGATTGAATTGCAAATTGGAGTGTTGGTTCTTTAATTTGTGAAGGGAGGAAAACCCGAGAACTCAGTGGAAAACTCTAGGAGCAAGAAGAGAACCAACAACAAACTCAACTCATTTTATGATGTAGGGTCCAGGATTTAAACCAGGGCTTGAAAACAGTGCTGTCCCATTATCCTGGACAAGTAGATTTTCCTTCTGGGTAAGTAACTTTTCATTCTCACTTGCCCAATGGACGAGAGATCAAGCATCTGCCAACTAAATAATTGAAAGTCTCACCCAGGGTAAGCAAAATTTGAGAGCTACTTGTCCCAAAGGTGAGCTAGAAATTTTAGTTTTTTTTAAGCCCTGTTAAACCCTGGTCACAATGGTGGGAGGCGAGCTTGCTCACGACTGCATGATCATCCTTGGTGCCATCCTTTGAAATCCTTTGGTTACCAGTATTGACGGTACTAAGATTGAGTGGAGTGCAATTTGAGTTGGACAGACTACAGTCAAACCTCTATTATGCAGTGGCCATCAGGAAATAGCCAGGTGACTGCTCAATGGAGCTTGACTGTTTCAAATGAGGTGATAAGAATTTAAGCAGGAAAATTAAGCGCAAGTTAAGTTACATGACATTTCGACGACTTCATGTCATCATTGTCACAAGAATAAATTAAAAACTCTTTACATGAAGTTTTCATGTAACGTTTGCTAATTTTCTGACATCCTAAGTACTATAAATATGCTTTGCTGTTGTTTTAAATTTACTCATTCGATGTAACTTTACTTAATATGTTAATTTTCCTGCTTAAATGTTTTTCGAAATCGTTTTTTATGATAAGAATTTAGCGCGATATGGGGCAAAAATTGAACAAGAAAACAAAAATAAGTGCACAATCAACATAAATTCTATTGTTTCATAACAACTGTAACACGAAATTATATATCTATGGAGTTCATGCACTAGCCAACAGATTTCACGGCAATATTGCTCAAAAGGCAAGTCAAGCATCTTTGTCTTAAAACAGATCATTGACAGTTTTGGCATCTCATTTAACATCAAATGAAAAAAATCAGTTATTGACGTCTGTGATTTGGGTTGTATAACTTATTAAATTAATTTTGGTAAAGCATGTCACTGACTTTGTTCAGCGCCAACAAGAGTTCTTTATGACCATAAACTGTGCTCTGATTGACCACTGTTAAACAGACTGAGGTGAATTACGATAAAATTAGCCAATCGGGAGTCCCAACGGTGACTGTGTCTGCTTAATAGGGGTGACCGCTTAATGGCGGTCAGTAAAAATTAAAGTGAAGCAAGTTTTGGGAGTTTGAAAAGTGACCTCTTAATACATGTAGAGGGTGACCACTTAACAGAGTGCTGCTTCATATAAGGTTGATGGCATCTGGTGTACCTGTGGCTCCTGCGTGGGTCTACATTATGAGTAATCACAGGAATACCCGTCCATCATATAGACCTACTGGTGTTCCTGAGCCTACAGTTAGAAATAGAGTTACTGTTTGTCCTTTGATCAATGTGGCCACAATTAGACACAGAGTTATTGGTGTGCCTGTGACTTACTGGTGGTCCTGAAGGCCCATCAGGCCCAGTCTCTCCCTGATCGCCAGCTGCTCCCTATAAAATGAGAAGCCAAGGCACATTACAATCAGTACATCTTCATGCAATGGCAGGTGAGGAGAGTAGTAACGGCAGACTGTAATTATTAAATATATAACTCTTAGAGCCAATTTACACTAACTTTGCTGATGACTGTTGCATGTGACATGTTTGAGGGTGCAACATCCATGTAGGTTTGGTAGGATGCACGATGAGAATGAAAGTGGAGGCAGCATATAGGATAAAAAAATCTTAATAGAGGAATGTGGTTAAAAATTCCTCAACAGGAGCTGGAGTTTCTCATTTTGACAGATCATGTAGGATGCAGGATAGTTTTACATTGACAGCAGGATGCGGTCTATGAAAAAACAGAAGTTATAGACATCATGCAGAGAACTGCGGCTTTAACCAGGCGAGATCAGAATAAACATTTTGAGTGGTGAGTGGGATGGCAGGATTAAGCTACAAATAGTAGCGGGATGTGGTATTGAAAAAGCCTAATTACATACATGTTGGACCCTCGTGCTTACACCATGAATTCCATGTACAAATGTGTGACTTTGTGGTGACAGTGGTAAGCAAGTTGTACATTTGAAGCAAACATTTCAAGCGATAACTAACTTGTTAATGACATTTATTACAGTGTAGAATGTGAAACTGTTAATTAATACATACATCAGTTCCATTTTTTCCTGGTGTACCAGGGAAACCATCAGAACCCTAGATAAGGAGAAATCATGAGAAAATGACTAACAGTGACCATAAAAATAGTGACCGCACAATAGTACATGTATTCATTTGTCAACATACAGAATGCAATGAAAATGACTGCAATTTTTGTGAATTCTCTTTGCCTACTACCAGTCGATACCTGTACATGCTTTTAGTTTATAACACATGCACGTCTTAATTTCTGACAATATTCCCTGCTTTTTTCAGGTTATTCAATACATTTGTTCATTTACGCTCTACATTTAAAAAAATGGCAATTTCAAAAATTTTGTCAAGATCTTCAAGACAAGTTACATGCAGGATTTGCTGCCAAGTGAAACACCCCCCGAAATCTGGCTGCAAATGCTTTTATTGTTATAGTAATCTCAGCAAAAAGTAGACCTTGATTCTACTTTGGGCAATGCTGGTGGCAACCAGGGATGTTACAATGGGTATTTTTTTGTGCAATTTGTGTCACAACAAAACTGCAAGACAAGTGCCTAGGAAAATTGTCAAGTGTAGCAGTGCCTTTAAGATAATTATGAATGAGACAGCACCTTTCTTCCAACATCACCCCGGACTCCCTTTGGGCCTTTCCTCCCACGCAATCCAGTGTCTCCTTTGAATCCGTCCACACCTTTGGGTCCGTCCGGTCCTTTTTCACCCTAAAAATACATTTCATTAAAAAGCAGTTTACAGTTGTACCATGTTAATTTAAACTTGGTTCTTTTCAATTCAGACCCATTTCCCTTGGACTGCCTTAGTTTGTATGTTCAGTCATTTACTATAATGCAGCTATTTTAAACTCAGTTAATTTGAGCTCACCACTATTTTGAACTGATCTTTGTTTCCCTTGACCTAAAATCAACCCTGTTTATATAAAACTGTGTTCATGGAAGAGCTGCATGACAAAAAACCATGTCAGAACATGGTAAGGAAACTTAACTTTGGCCTTTTCATCACATCACATCACATCACATCACATCACTTTTCAGTCCATAATGTTGATTAATATGTCACAGCCAGTTAAAATTGTTACATGAATACATGTAAAACTATGTATTTCAATGCTGACCTAGTTATTTTGAATTCCCACTATTTTGAACAGTCTGTTTTTTTTCTTTTCCCCTGAGTTTGAAATCATGAAGTCCAATTGTATTTGACACACATGACAGAGAGGTGCAGTCATGTAATGGTTCATGCACTGTCTCCAGATCAAGTGGTACAGCAAGGGCATAGCCAGAGGGATTCCTGCCAGGGTGGGCCTGTGACCCCCCTTTTGTAAGCCTTTTTTGGGCAAAAATCTACAAAGGTGGTGAAAACTCCATGACAATCTGGTGAGTACCCTCAGTTTGACACAGTGTGACCCCCCATTTGAAAAATCCTGGCTATGCCCCTGTACTGGTCAAGTGCTGCCTGTTCTTTTGACGAGAAAGACCCTTTTCTCTCACAGCGCCTCTCTCCACTAAGGACTAATATTGTGTGTACACCTTCAACCTAACAAATTGCTGGGGAGAGAAACCTGCTAAGAATGGATATCAGCTGATGGAATTCTATCCAGGTTGAAGAGGAGTACATTGTTGGTAGCTCCTAATCACTCTACTGACTGCTTTAGTCAAACTTCTACTAACAGGGCACCTCTCTGTTGTGGCCACTACTCTATGTACAGTCATCACTATTATAAGTCCTTATCACACCATGGGACACATACAAAAACATGTATATAAGGCCTTGCCTCTCTGTAATGGCCAGGACTTTTTTGTCCAGACCATGTGCAAATGCAAACAACTGTTACTATTACTCTTGCAAACACTTTCCCACAAGGGCAATCTCTTTACTTCATGATCAATGGCTATTAGGAAACATCAATTGAAGCTGGTTTGAAAAAAAATTACAAAACATCACATTCTGCTGGTAGTTCTGAAAATCATTCAGATCAGCGGTACACAATATAATGCTACTTACTGGTGGGCCTGGAAGTCCTGGAGGACCTTGCAATCCAGGAGGGCCTCGAGTTCCCTGACAACATAATGAAAAGACCAGGCCAGTTTAACAAGTTGAGCAGAACAAGACAAGCATGTATAATGAAAAGACCAGGCCAGTTTACAGAGCAGAGCAAGACAAGCAAGCATAATATAATTCATTTATGATCTTTTTCTGTAAGGTCTGCTGAAGGCATTCAGGGTCTGGGGGCATCCTCCCTCTGAAATTTTTTTCAAATTGAGGTCCTCAATATCCCAGCATTCTGAGGCCAAGTTAGTGTGTTATAATGTCTCATTCTTTTAAACTTAGGGGATTCAACCCCTCCCCCCCCTCTAGATCTGCCCCAACACAAGGGAAAAAATAGTTCACCAAATGTGCAATCACTAACTGTATCATTAAGCCATAGTAACATTAAAACTTACATTAAGTCCTGGTCGTCCTGGCTGCCCTGTTTCACCCGGAGCTCCAGGGCTTCCCTAAAACACACAAAAATATTAATAATAATCTTAGGAATTGATCTGAGGTTGTACAACAATTTCAATAACAATGAATAACTTACAGTAATTTTCTTTTAGTTTTAATCCTTGGGAATATGTATGAAAACAATTGGACAAGTCTTTCAAAGCACTCCCAGTCTAGGGTGAGTAACCAAGCTGTACTTTCATATGGTTCTGTTTATTATGCTATACAAAGTGGTTCAGACAGACCTTCTGATAGGGTGCGATGAAAAAATGCACATTATGCAAAATTTGCAGGGCAGATTATGCGATTAGAAAGGCCACTTGTGTGATAAATAATGTAAATTATTCGATTCTTTTCTGAGCAATTTTAAGCTTGTTTTATAAGATTTCAGGATAAGAAAAACACTTTTTTGCTGCCCTAAAGACATTTTGAATACAAAGGAACAGTAATTATGCATCTTGATCGACATTAGTTGGGATAAATAAGAAAAAAATGAGGTCTTCTGCACTATCGGTGCACCACGTTAAAAGTTGAAAGGACAGAGCTAACATGCCAAATGAATGATCAATAATTATTATTGATATTTTTGCATGCTACAATTAGCTTCTTACGCTTTGTTTTTATGTGCAGTACATTTCTGAACACAACCACTGACTTCTGAAGATGGTCAATCACAATATTGCACGACAAGCAAACCATCAGTCCATCGTCCAACGTGGAATGTACCTTTGGGGTACTTTCTTGCTCGATTGTGAGCTGTCAGATTGGACGGAAGGGGGAAACTTGCCTTCTTGGTCGAAGAAACAGTGGGTGTTTTGACTACAAACTTATCCATGAGTAAGTTTTTATCGCTTTTCAATGAAAGAAACTACATTTTGCCGAAAAACTGACAACTTCACTTATTTTTCACCCCTATACTTCCAACGTGAATAGAGAATTGTGTCATCATTTCAGTAGTGTGTATATATCAGCCATTCAGGTTGGCTTATCTGAACAAAGGGCNCATTTGTTCTTGCACATTAAGGGACAGATACTCACCTGTACATGTACTATCTTATGTTGACAAAAATTAATATTAAATAAATTGCATCCCTACATCATTTTGTATAAAATGGAGAAAATAAAAAGTATACAGCCATACCGGAGGGCCATCCTTTCCCGGTGGACCTTTCTCACCTCTCCGTCCCTGTAGGAAAATATCATGACTGTTCATGAGCATTGTAATATCAGATTATTTAGTTCTTGGTGATAGCGATCAGTATGAGCATAGCAAATGTGTGTGAGAAAAAACTTTTTAACTAATAATTAAAAATAACTCTTGAAGGCATAATTAATCTAAATTGCATGAACCCCTTTCCCTCTGAGAAGTGAGATCTCGTTTACATAAAACAGAAGAAATAAATAAAAGTGTGTGAACATTCAAATGAAAGCTATGGAGCAGTAAGTAGAGTATGTTTAAATTATGGAGCTATACAATTCAAGGTGGTTCTAACTTGTAAGTCTGTGGCTAAAACCCTAGTGTGTGACCATTCAAATGAAAGCTATTGACCAGTACTTTCATGTGGTACTGTTAATTATGCTGTACAAGGTGGTTCTAACTTTTAAGTCTGTGGCTAAAACCATAGTGTATGACCATTCAAATGAAAGCTATTGAGCAGTACTTTCATGTGTTAACTAATATAAGATGTTTTTCACACTGCACAAGGTGCTACTAACTTTAAAAGTCATGAAATGAAACCAGTGTGTGACCATTCAACTGACAGCTATTGAGTTCTAATGTCTTGGGATGTTGTTTATGCTTGTGAGAGGTGGCTCTAATTTATCATTAGTAAGTTAAAACTTATGTGTGGTCATTCAAATGAAAGCTGAAAAAAGCAGTTTCGTATGCTACTGCTTGGCATAATGCTCTAAATAAAAGATGGTCTTATTTCCAAGTCTGCGCAGGGAATGCTGGCCAGTGCCCGACCATTGAACTGAAAACTTTCCTAGTTGTGCAAGTAGCTTTATTCAGTGTCTAGAATACTCAAGGTGTGACAGGTAAGAATGCTTGACTCACCGGTACTCCTGGAACTCCAACAACAGTGATCACTGGGCTACCTGGAGGTCCAGGGGGTCCAATTGGTCCCCGGCCACCGGTAGGGCCTGGAGGGCCAGGGGGTCCCTGGTGAAAAGCAGACAAAGTTATATTACAGGAGGCACATCATGGTTTATGTGCTTCTTGAAAAGTTTAGCCTAAATTTATAAAATCCGTCATTTGTAAATCTGCGTCAATCTTCTCCATCCTTAACCATCCTTGTTCCTTTATGATTTATTGCTATCTTTTCAGTGCTTTTCTATCTTATTAAACTACTATTTTCAGGTTTCCATAAATTTAATGGTAATCTTTTATATGGCCAAAATAACTCAAAATACTGTGACTGAGCTCCTTTAAGTACACTACAACTCAAAAGTAAGTTACCGTCTCTCGTGAAAGATGAAAGACCAATTTTTCCATTTACATTTTTACATGGCAAAGGTTGCCCATCCTGCTGCCATAGAGTGCTGGTGCCGGTGCAAGTGATCAAGTTAATACGTCCAGTGAGGAGTACATCAGGTCACAGAAAAAAGACCAAATAGGCATACCCGTATTAAAGGAGGCCAAAAAAGAGATCACTGATAACAAATAGGCATAAAACCTAACGATTTCCCCCAAAATCTTGCTATAACTATCCCACTAATTAGCCTTTCTGAACTCTCCTGTTGCCTTAATAGGAAAGTCATGAATTAAAAGTTTGTCAAATATTTTTTCCAAAAGGTGCCAAAAGTTGCCTTGGTCATGAGTTTGAGAAGACACAAATTAAGTTTATCTAACATCAACAACTTTTATTACGATTATCAAAAACCACAGTATCACTGTACTCACATCAGCGCCAGGAAGTCCAGGTTCACCAGTTTCACCCCTGTCACCAGGGAAACCCTGGTCTCCCTGAAAAACAGTCACAAGTAATGTCAAGTGTTTGTCAGAATATCAATTGTTAAACTTGCATCTAGCTTGATTCAATTTTAGTTATTATGCCAACAGTTCACATCTTAAATCCTGTTATGACTTATAAATTAAAAATAATTTTGGACAAATCACAAAAAAATTATTCCCGAGTACTAGCACAGACATATGCTATCCCACCCACCCTGGGGCATTTGCAACTTTTTTTTTTTCAAAAAAATGGGAAGTCCCTGAGTGCATGAGTGACTATCGGCAGGCTTGGAATTGACAAAGCCCAAAGTTAAAAGAACCTCAAGTTAAAATATAAGATTTAAACAGGCTCAGCATACTTTTGAAAACCAACATAAAACTACCTTGATCTTCCACAGAACCCAGACATGGAGCACAGACAGTTCGACGTTTAATACTTCTTGTAAATACTAGAAAGCTGGTAGTCAGAGGGAAACTAGAGTTTAATAAAAGATTTGATGCTTACAGTTCTCCCTGCGTTTCCTTTCTCGCCAGGGTCACCTTTCAACTCCTGAAATCAGAGCAAATCCGATCAATTCTATTTGTCAGCTGTCAAAATCAATATCAACTTAAACAAGGGTACAACTACTTCATTTCCTCAATCTCCTGAAGCCATTCTTTCGCTAAAATCTTACATTTAAACCGTATTCAAGCTTGCTATAAAAAATAAAATGAAAAATTACTCACTCAGCCGCCATGTTGATTTTCTGGCGGAGGAAAACTGGGGTTAAGCGTGACCACTGATTGTCACGTAAGAAGCACTGACAGGTTGGTTAAACACATGTTAAACCAGGCATTGTCCCTCTGAGACGAGACAGTTTCTTTTTTTGAGAACAATCTGATCGATAGTTAAAACTTCAAAAACAAAAGTACTTACTGGATCTAAAATTGTAGGGACTGAAACGAAAAAAAAATCCAGGTTAGTAATCAATCCAACAGCCTTGACTTAAAAATACATTTAAACAGACTGGAAAAAAATTGAGACAGTGCCATCATCTTGAAGAGCTCATTTTTTTCAAGGAAGAACGCCATGTCAAGTCTTAAGTCAGAGGAGCAATTTATTATTGAAACTGAGGACTCCATCTGCTTTGCAATGTAGTTTCCGGTGTCTCGATCAACCTCGGCTTCATGCAAGCCAAAAAAATGTATGACGTAGTTTGTGCAAAGTTAAACTTAGTGCTGAAGTTGTTTAAAAGGAAAGTCCTGCTGCAATTTAATTAAGCAACCATCGTACAAATTGAGACGCATATTTTTATTTTTTCAAAAAACATAATCAAAAGGAACATCTATATTTAGAATGCGATAGTTCTAACTCTTTCTTCCCGGCAGTTTCTGCATGTGTGAGTTGCTTACTGCGCAGGAAAAAAAAAAGATTTGATTCCATGAAAACTGGCCCTCCGTTGCGCTAAGTTATTCTGGTCCGTGATCGCAGCAACGGAGCAGAGAGCTTGCTTGCGTGGCACACGATCTCAGATCAGAGAATTTCTCGAAGTTAATTGAGGGAAAAAGCTAACATTTGTTCGCTAATGATAACGCTTTCGAGTCAGTTTCCACCAGCAATTGATATGTAAGTTATGCATTTATAAGAAGAGAGAATAAAGAAAGCTCTTGCAGCTACTGAATGGATGATTGTCCTCAAGGCCTGGTATGTGAAATCGTAACATGATATGAGAAAAACCACCAGTTGAATATCCTCCAAAACTTCGTACATACATGCCCTTACTCTTTCAGTATTTTGTCTGTATATAATCTTTTCTTTTCCAGGCACAAACACTGTCGACATCAACTATCCTGCCCTAAATAAAATATCCTGCTTTCAATCAAAGAGAGTTTAGAAAGACCTCGGTTTTTACGCCACGCGGCAAGTACGGTATCAGGATATAAGATCAAACACTTCAATGATCCCGGGCTCCGAGCATCAAGATCTGCTTCACAAGACAAATTCGAAAAAGTGCACCTTAGCTTTAACCATGCGTTCACTTAATCACACAAGACGAATCGATTCGCCGAGCATGGGAGACCAGTAACTTCTTTTCAAGTGGAGAAACATCATTTCTGTAAGACTAGATGGTACTCCCGAATACAATAACGCTTTCATCGTTGTCGGTCGTGCGAACGCCAACAAAAATGACAAAAAAAAGCCAACAATTCGCATGCAATGAAATGAACAGCTTAACAAAAGGCTTTTCTCGTTGATTTTGACAAGGAAACATTTCTGAAATGTACAAGCAAGCGTGTGTCATGTATTGCGGGAGGAATCGCTTACCAGAGTCGTCCGTGACCGCACAAAAGCGCTTGAAGAAAAACGCAGATAGGAGAAAATCGGAGAATGCAACTTACTTTGATTCTCCATACCGCCGTGTTGTCCCTGTGTTCTGCAGATCCATAACGTAAGGAAGAGAGTTACCGCTATTCTAGAGGCAAAGAACCCCATCTTTTCAACCCAAATAGCTCAAAAGGGCTGAAGCATGAAGGTTCAATAAACAGCCCCTGGTCTTTTGCGTGCTAGACAGAAGGGTAATGTCGCGCTACTCGGCTCATCTAGGGTATCACACCCCAGAGAGAGCAATCAATAAAGTTTTGTATTGTGTTTCTGTGAAATAACACGCTTGTCGTCTGGGATGATGTGATAGACGTGATGGGTATCAAATGGCCAGAGCTAGCGTAACACAACTATGGTGTCAACATACACGTCTTTTTCGTTGTCCCTTGCGAAAAACAAGCAAAGCAGAAAATTTTGACTTGCTCAAAGCGAGATCAAATGTTTCTTGCTGTGGATAGAGAGTTCGAGAACCAGATGAAGTCACGATTCGAACATACGTGTAGATGAATATGATACAGTGCCAGCAGGGATTTTGATCGTCTGTGACAAGACAACAGACATTCAGTGTGATAAAGGGCTCATAAAGGTCAGGCAATCTCCAATCAAGTTGCACCGCTCTCATCTACACAATAAAGAATAAAGAAATTGCTCATCCACACACCAGAAGCCTATAATGCTGTGGTGCGCTTACTCGCCACAATTCCACATATTTGCTCTTTGAGGAATTTGAATGCCCAGAACAAACCTAGAAAACAAGGAAACAAAAAAGGCATATTTAAAAGGAAAGCTAAAAAATCAACCATTTTAAATTTTTTTTCCCTCAAAATGGACCGAATTCCTCAAATTTTCCGATTTCGTGATCAGTGGCGTGACAAAACAGAAACTGAATGAAAGCCCGTTTGAGTGATTCTCGTATAAAAAGCGAATTGTCACCGGTGTGACAGACAAAGGAAAGTTCGCGTGCTTGAAATTTACCACAAGAAACAAACATTGATAGTGAATGCCTAATGAAAAGTTACACCGCTCGTAAACGCTAAATTTTATGATTTTTTAAGCGTTGAATGTAAATACTCACACGAATACAGGCTAGTTATAAAAACGTTAGTCCTAACTCATCCAAAATAATCTTGTATATAGACCCCTATTGTTTAAAAGTTGTAAATAGATCTTTAATTTTAATTTTTAATTTTTAATGCTGTAAATAGTTCCTTAATCTTAACTTTTAGGTGTCCCCGATTAGTAGAGCCGTTTCACTCTCGGCTATTTTACCTCAGACACGTTAATAAAGTTGTCGATTTATTGGTTGATAATCTAGATTTCACATTCAGTGGCTTGCTAAACTGAGTTTACTATTTAATTTAATTTTTTGTTTGTTTGTTTGTATATTGTTCATGTCTTAGTTTGTCTGCTAGTTTGTTAGTCTGCCAGATAGTCCTTTTTTTGTTTGTTTGTTTGTTTGTTTTCCAGGGCTGTAGCACTAGCCTGGTCGCAGGCTTTCCGTGGGCTAAATCCACAACTGAAATTGATGGTGAATGCCAAGCAGAAACGCTTACAAAAACGCACATACAAGTTCCAAAAGCTTCTAAACAAATGCCATAGAACTACAAGGAAACCTTTAAGAGTGGTTGCAAGGGATCATTCAAGTTAATGCATGATCTCATATATTGAGCCAGCAATAAAGCAATCTGATTGGCTGATTAAAGTTATTGGCCCCATCTGCATCCACATGAGAGGGGTTGGGGGGGGGGGTGGGGGTCATGCAACAGGACTAAAGGGTAAAAATAAACTGACTTAGTCATGCAATAACCAGCCATCTTGACCTCACGTTTGGTCAATGACCAAAATTTACTAGTGAGTAACTATTTGCAAACTTTAGATCTGAATGGATACACAAATAAATATGTGTATGCAAACCATTGAAGATATAAGTAGCAAATTTTAATGTACACATAGAGTTCAATAAACAAATACATTTTTTTATTGCGTGAAACAAACAATAGAGTTTCAAAGTACTTTACTAGGACACTTTTGACAGGCAATAGACAAACAGTATACAAGAATTTTAATCATGACTAAAAATATGCAAATCATGATTCTAGTCGGTGTAATTTACATAGTTCATCACGCTGATGTATTTCTCATTTGCTGGCAGATATTAATATTGTCTTGACTTGAAATCTGAAAAACAGGGGGAAAAATGTAGAAGGTCAATAGAAAATAAAAAACAGAAACAGGGCAATCAAATGAGGCTGATATAACTGTACCCTAATGTAGAACATTAACAGTGAAATGGTTCTAAAGTTTGTCAAAATACCAATAATATTGTTGTTTCTTGTCTTTCTGGCCTTTACCTTGCACGATAAGTAGAATATTTACTGAATTTGTACGAGCACAAACCACAAGCAAGCAGAAGTAGTAGATATCTAAGACTGAGCTCAAGAACCCAGAGAAAACAGGATTAGGTTTTTTCTTTGGCGGTATTTACACAATAAGACTGTTTTCCGGTTAAGTATGTATAAAGTTTATGTGTACATGCCAACCTGTGAAAAAGCAGAAAAAATCAAGATAACTATATTTCATAGGGAAAATATTATGTGGACAGTCTCGCCTGCTTTACTTCAGAATTCAAATTGAACAAGAGCATTCTGCAACAATTTTTATCAAGTAAATAAGAACAAGGATAAAATATGTAGGTCACTCTTGCAGAAACATCTCCAAATATCAGTTGCTAAATTCTATCTATCTTTTTCTAAAAGTCGTGTAGTTTGGGATCACTCGTTCCCACAAGGAACAGGACAAAGAAATATATGTTTCATTATTCATTCCCAAGAATGTTTTACCATTCACATATACTTGAACCCTGGGGGAAGGGGGGTACTCCCTTATATGGGCTATATAAGTAATATGTGCAGCCCCAAAGGGTATGGTTTTTCAGCCGTTTCGGTCATAAATAGGGTATAGATTTTGGCCATTTTGGTCAGGGTATGGTTTTTGCACTCTAGTCTTCAATTGGGTATGTTTTTTAGACAAAGCTAATTTTTCATCGTAATCGACAAGACCATCAACAAAAGCTGTCATAAATAATGTTTGGGGCGACTGTGCCAGCAGCAAGGGTCATGAATAGGGTATCAAATTTTTGGTCAGGTCATATATAGGGTAGGGAAAATTGCAGATTTTGGTCATAAACAAGGTAACGGGTTTTGGGAAGTGGGTTGCACATCCCCACCCAATTTTTCTTGGAGTGCCCCAACCCAGACTTGAACAAAGTTCATTTCAAGCCCTGCAACAATTCTTGCCAAAAATGGCCACTTACCATAGATGTGCGTTATTGCACTATGATGTTGTTGATGGGAATGTGAATGAGTTTGACGAAAAAGCCGATGAATCCCATGATAGCAAAACCAATGGCAGTTGCCAGGGCAATTTTCTGGAATTCTACAAAGATAAGAAAACAAGAATAACTTGAGTTTCTACTTGGAATGCTGACATGTTGAATAATTACCAAGCTGCATGCTTGAATCAGTTATACATGTAGTCAGATAAAGAGAAGTATGGAGTTTTTTGGTATTGATGATAAAAAAAAATAATAAAGTCACCGTGATCTAGAATTATTCTTCTTTCTGGACGGTATTTGCACAAAACGCGTTGGTTAAGGCTGCATACAATTCCCTACTGATACTAGGTGACATCTGAGCTGGCAACAATGTCACTAGTTTGTGCTTTTCTGTCCTCAAACAAAACACAGCGTTTACATAAAAATATAATCCAATACAACTAGAAAAGAACTTGTCATGGAAACCTCCAAGGGGGACAATTTTGTGGTTTAAAGTGGATTAGTTTAAGGTCATCTATGGTTTATCATTTGTTGCCATAAATTAAATGATTTTCAAGTCAATGAAAATTTCTGGAAAAACAAATCTACATGTGATAAACTCATTTTGCATGAAAAATATGTACATTTCTTCTTACTTCCGACTTTATTTGTTCTTCAAAGCGTAGCAGCACAGTTTTCAGNAAGACCATCAACAAAAGCTGTCATAAATAATGTTTGGGGCGACTGTGCCAGCAGCAAGGGTCATGAATAGGGTATCAAATTTTTGGTCAGGTCATATATAGGGTAGGGAAAATTGCAGATTTTGGTCATAAACAAGGTAACGGGTTTTGGGAAGTGGGTTGCACATCCCCACCCAATTTTTCTTGGAGTGCCCCAACCCAGACTTGAACAAAGTTCATTTCAAGCCCTGCAACAATTCTTGCCAAAAATGGCCACTTACCATAGATGTGCATTATTGCACTATGATGTTGTTGATAGGAATGTGAATGAGTTTGACGAAAAAGCCGATGAATCCCATGATAGCAAAACCAATGGCAGTTGCCAGAGCAATTTTCTGGAATTCTACAAAGATAAGAAAACAAGAATAACTTGAGTTTCTACTTGGAACGCTGACATGTTGAATTACCTAGCTACTTGAATCAGTTATACAAGTAGCCAGATAAAGGGAAGTATGGAGTTTTTTTGTATTGATGATGAAAAAAAAAATGAAGTCACCGTGATCTAGAATATTCTTCTTTCCGGACGGTATTTGCAGAAAACACGCTGGTTAAGGCTACATCCAATTCCCTACTGATACTAGGTGACATCTGAGCTGGCAACAATGCCGCTAGTTTGTGCTTTTCTGTCTTCAAACAAAACACAACGTTTACATAAAAATATAATCCAATACAACTAGAAAAGAACTTGTCATGGAAACCTCCAAGGGGGACAATTTTGTGGTTTAAAGTGGATTAGTTTAAGGTCATCTATGGTTTATCATTTGTTGCCATAAATTAAATGATTTTCAAGTCAATGAAAATTTCTGGAAAAACAAATCTACATGTGATAAACTCATTTTGCATGAAAAATATGTACATTTCTTCTTACTTCCGACTTTATTTGTTCTTCAAAGCGTAGCAGCACAGTTTTCAGAAAACCTTGGTATAGTAACTTTAAGCTGCCTGATAAGACACTTTCTTTAAAGTGGCCCATGGCAAGGGTGTAGACTGGGTATGAAATGATATAGAGCTAATCTTACACCAAGATTGAACACAGAAAACATTCACTTTGTTTTCATGGAGAGAGGATAACATGAGAAGAAATTACTGGAGGAAAAATGAAAACATTTCAGCGGATGAATACCACAATGCTACATTTTTCATCCTTAAAATTCCTTTTATATGATAACTAAATGGTAATAATTACCTTATCAGAGATCATATAAAGGACATGTTAAGAATTACATGTCTATTTGTACCAGTCCAAAGTGAATTGCCATTATTCGTGAAATTTAACCTATACGTTGTAAAGAAACAGCTATAAAATCAAGGCAAAGTTTAGGAGAACAAAACAAATGGAAAATGGAAAGCTAATTACAACCAGTTTGGGCTGTAAAAACACAGATCAGTCAAACTACACTCGTGGAGTCGTGAAAAAAACAATATAAGCTTTAAAATCTTCCAGATTATTTTGAAAAAAGGTAAGCTTAAAAAAAGCTTAAAACTTCACAAAAAAACCCTTTACGACCAGAAAAAGTGTGGTAAATATACTGTCGCAATTGAACAGTTAAAACTCTTAGAAATAATAAGTAGAAAACAAAACGAACCTTTTCTATCCGGCTTGGTGCATCTCTTCACAAGTCTCATGGAGTCCTTCGCAAACTGTTTGCATGGCTCAAGAGCGTTCGTAATCTGGTCCATTTCTCTGTGTTATTTCCTTTTTTAATAAAAACAAAAGGTTTACGACACATTCTCTGTTAATTAGAACCACTGTTCCAAGACAGCCAAGAGGAAATCAGTGTTTTTCTTACCGGAATAGTTCTTCACAAAAGATCGAGAGATGTCGTGTCACTAAAAGGAAGAAGAGAGAGGACGAAGCTTGGTATTGCATTATGGGTAGAAAATTGTTGATCCGCTGACGCCAACATTCAACAGAAAGCAGGCTCAAATTTATTCAGTCGTGGTTTGGGGAAATCTAAAGCAAAATCATGATCAGCCGCTTATCACATTTTCTCTTGATCTGTAGGAGCCCATCACTACCTCTATACAGACAAATGCAGGACAAACCTCAACGCGCGGTATCAAAAAGTCATCGCGACAAAGTCGTGCAAAGACCATATTTCCTCAAATAAAGACAATAGAGGATGGATCATTTGACTTTTGAGGCGAGGGGGGGAGATGATTTGGTACCGGCACGAATTCTTTTTAACCCTTTCATGCAGTAGGAATTTGTTTATTTCCGGGACGTATGTATGCATGATATTTTTTCCCCATTTTACGTGCTTTCTTCGGCTCACTGAACATGCGTGAATATTTTCTTATGCAGTGGTCGTGTGCATGATTTTTTGGTACAGTGCTTGCGAGTGTTTTTTTTTTTTCAAAATCACACACCCCTCCCTTCAAAAGTCAACTCGTCCCCCCCTAAGACCCTCAGTCCTAGTTCTGGTGTCAAATACCTGACCCCTCCCCTCTCCCAGTTGGGGCCTTGATGGTGCCCAGCTTTTACAAGGTCTCGCGGCAGCAACAGAGAGTCAACAGACGTATCAGTGCTTTCCACAAGTTGCTCGAGATTTCGCAAAACCAGGGGCAATACGTTGCTCGCAATTTCTCAAAAGTTGCTCAGAAAAAGTCAAAAGTTGCTTTTTGTAACGAAAGTTGCTCAAAAGTTGCTCCAAAAAAGCAAACAAAAAATTTTGTTGCTCTCTTCCTTATTTGGTTTGATGCGAAAGTGCAACAAAAAGAGATTTCCAAGCTCTCTATTGTCATTCAGTCTAATTCCAATTTTAAAAGAGTGGTTTTCTTGTAAGGTTGGTAAACCCAAAATCGAAGTTAAATCAAAGACTCCAAACGCAAATATTTTCTTTTCTCACTGAATGATGAATGAAAATTAAACCAGCTTTTGCGCTTGACCATTCAACACAGATACAAAAATTTTTTTACTTTAAAAGATCGGAACTTTTATTTCTTTTAATTTAATATTTACAATGTAATCATTTCAGCCACTCTATTGATGCGTAGCTGGTGGTTTAAGCGATTTGAGCACGAGCACAAGATCCACAAGCGATGCGTTAAGCCGCGAATACGAGCGCCGATGCTGCGAGGAGCCTAGGGGATAGCGTTTCTTATCTCTCTCTCCCAGGCTCCTCGCGATTTTGCCCCTTGTCCGCACACGCAGGTCGCGTAAAACCACCAGCTACGCAGGGGCTACACTATTAATTTAATCGGAATCATCTAGTTCCCCCTCTATTGATAGATTCATCTCATTCCTGCTGTCTTTCCTTTGTTTCCTATCACTTGTTGTCTTGCCGCATCTTTTCCATTTCATTCGACGATTTTGGAACCATATCTTGACTTGCGTTTCAGTCAACATGAGACTGGTAGCGAGCTCGTAACGCTGTGGCCGTGTCAAATATTTCTGGGCCTGGAACTGGCGTTCAAGCGTAAGAAGTTGATGACTTGAAAACGCTGTGCGAGGTCGCCTCTGTTTTCCATTTACAGTGAAGTTTCGTGTGTGTAAATAGTGATGGGAGTAATCTGTTGGATAGGAAATAATGATGCGATATTTTAGAAAATAGCCCAAAGATAATCCGCGCGCTGATTGGTTTTAAATCGTGCTTCTATAACTCGATGGAAACACAAAACTAGCACGAGCTGTTGACGTAATGATTGCTCGAGCAAAGAGAATTAACATGTTGATGATCAAAGTAAACAAGTTTTCTTTTTTCGTCGCGGTATTTTCTAAAAGAAACAGAAAACTTGTTCTCCGTGTTTCTATCGAGTTAACCCAAAGCTGTAACTGCCTGCCGGGCAGCCTGGTGCATATTGAAACTTCGACATGAGAGCGACCGCGAGGATCATGGGAAGCCACTTCACAGAAAGCGCAAAGGGTCAAGGGAAGATTCGCTTTGCTCTCTTTAATCGCCTTTCCCAAAACAATGGTACCGGGGGAGAAGTTGCAAAGTAATAATTTCACTGTTTAATTCGAACGTCATTGTATCGCTGTTGAAGTTTAGAAGACCATGTTATGGATTGTAAGCAGGGTTTTTGATCATGAAGAGATCAAAAACATGTCTGGATGTAAGAACTGAAGACCGAACAGTTATAAAAGTTGTGTATATAACTGCGATGATCAGTCAGGTCTTCATATTTTCCGTTCGCAGTTCGAATATATGACCTTTCATATATTCACTTCTAGTTATGATTTGATTTCAATAAATGACAGGATTCTATTACCGAGGAAATGAATGCAGTTTATAAACGAGAGCACGCGCAGTTTTACCTAGGATCTCAGGGCTGAATTAAATCACATTTGCTGCAAAAGGGAGCTGTTTAAGATAGTTGTTGTTAGACTTAATGGAATCTAAGACGTTTTTATCCCATGCTGAAACATGAAACTGATAAGAGAACGTTGGAAACTTTGCGTAACTTTTTTTGGTACAAAAATTTAGCAGAATCGATATTTGAAACAAATTGTGATCACTCAAAATTTCAACGCAGAGCTAGAAAACCGATCATACAGTTAGACACGAAGCAAGCGATTGTATTAGTTTTAATTTTGCACCCGAATAAAATGAACTAGCGAATTTATTTCCTGCTGTTTTTGGATTTTCGGTTTCCTTGTTTCATTTTGTTGACCTTTCCATGTTTTTTTGCTGTTTAGTAACCTACGTTCGGCTACTTCCTATGACTGATTGTTGCTGATTATTACTGACTGAAAAATTTTACGCATGAAGTGAGGGTTGCCATCCGAAATCGTCAGGGTTGCTCAACTGTCTGTGGATACCTTTGCTCTAACATACCTAAAGCAAATAGTTGAAAAAAGTTCAAAACTTGAGTTCGAGACAATTAGATTGAAAACGGCTGTGAGTCTTCGCTTTGGCACAACAGTAGAAAAGTTGCCAACATACTATTTGCACTCGTCGACCATTATTGCTCCCGTTTACCACTCGAATTTAATAGAGCGTTGCCGGATATAACTGAGACTTTGGAGTCGCAGTAGATTTGTCTTTTCTGTTGACAAGTGTGTTAGCAGCTTTTCTGCTCTGCTAAAGTGGAGAAAATTGATGAACCGAGGTCTCCTATCAACCCTTTCTATTGCGTGTGAAATTCGACTGGTGAACGGGAGCTATAAACCAACAACGAGTGCAAATAGTGTAAACGTTTTCGGGCTTTGTTGGGACTTTGCATGATCCACTGTATAGCAGTAAGCCTGACTGAAACGTTTGGATTTTGTTTCGAACATTTTTGTACTGTTAGCTACTGTTTTTAGCTATTACCCAACCGAGATAATTACCGTTCCATCTCATGAAATGCTCAGTTCACATTGACATTTTAGCGGGTGATCAAAGCCTCTTCCAAACATGTCTTGGAAACAACCCTTAAAATAATCGTTTTCCTTTTGAGCCAAATATTAATTAATACGCTTGTACAACAAAAGTCAAACGTCTGCAATTGAAAAACAGCGTGTTCGTTTGGTTGTTCTACAAATTAAGCGACAATGAGATCAGTACGGGTTGAAAACTCATTACATCCCTTGATCCGTTTATAAAGAACATCCCTGTTGTACCCACGGCGTGTAATTAGTTTATCTGCGGCTTGACGTAAAACGCTAAAGCATTTACGTCAAGCAGATTTTGTTGTCTGGCGTTCTGATCGGCATTGACTATTTTTTAGGTATTTTCTAATTTCTTCGACGGCAAATTCAAACGCCTGGATCAGTGGATATCTTTTAATTGCGGATCCCTCAAGGACATTGCACAACATAGAATTTGTTACGGTGCTGGTTACAAACTATGTCTAAAATTCTAGAGGACATTATTTTTTGATAACAATTTGATTGTTGTAGAGATAAAGAAACAAACGTTTCTTTCCCGACTTCATAAGGTTGACGTATCCTTCAAATAGCCTTTCGTTTGATCGTAACAGTTGCGCGCTGTAGTTAAGTAGCTGAAGTGGACTTGCAGCTGATTTCAAAAACCAGAAGAAAAGCTGACTCTGCTCAGAATTTGAACTGCAAGGTTAGAGTTATCTTAAGATATAACTTTAAACTGAATGAATACAAAAGGTCGATACAGATACGAATACGGTTGCTTAAGAATAGAAGCGAATAATTACTGAATCTATTTGATGGTTACCTGGAAATCCTTGCGGATTTCTGTGATAATACCAAGGTGGTAGATATGCCTTTGGCTCCCCGCGGACGCGTGCACAGTTTGACGGTGAATGGCAGCAGTTATTCATGCAAGGGCTCCAAACGATAGGCTCTATTCTTGGCAACAAGATTGGTGGCCTCCGAACAACCGTAACCTCGGTTCCTTCCTTCCGTTCCGGTTTTGTTGTCTCATTGGGATGAGTATCCTCCGCTAAGATGTCATCAATTCTGAACGACCTATGTTGCATATTTCTGGGTTGAAGATTCCAAGAAAGACTCATTCCATGTCGCTTGAATTAGGTCGTCTGTCGCGTTGACGTGTGGTGTCGTCTTTATGAAGCTTTCTACACTCACTTAATGTTATTCCAGCTATCGCCTTATTCACACACTCTTCGCAAATTCAATTACCATTCCTTCCTGTGATTGGCAGTGCTGGCGACAATTAGTTTCTAATCTTTTGTTAATGAAAGCTGATGAAGGTTGAATAAAGGCTAAAGTAGAACAATCACGCCTTAATTAGCATTAATTTCGATATAATTTGTTCAAAGGTCCTAATCACCCACATTACTAGCTTGATTGTAGTGCTATAACGTATCAATGAAAATATCAATCACTGTACGTTTGCCACAGAAATTGAACAATAAAACCGCGAATCCTATTTGTCTCCATTCGAGTCTGTCGCACATCAGCCTAAGAGACAGATCCTAAGCAAACGCTAGCTAAGAAAGATAAGTTTCGCGGATTAAGATCCACTGTCTTGCTAACACCTTGTGTTGGCCTTAAGATTTACAACACCAAAGTTTATGCCCCGATTCAAATATCCCGTGACATTTTTCCAAGTTTTCCTGTGCTTGGCAGATGTGTCAAGTTAGATTAACAAGTTGAGAAAGCTCTGTTTGGGGGGTAAAATGAAGCCAGTTAAGCAGCGCTCAAACTTCGGAAATGTTGCCATTATACAAAAGTACAAAGGAGTATTCATCGTTTAATTTACACAGTTCGCATGTGAGCTCATCCTCGAGTTTCAAAACGACAAATAACTTTTGCCTTCATAAAGCTAGCTGTCCGCTGTCCGCCAATCCGGGATCGAGAGAGAGACTTTAACAGCAATCAAACTCCAGCCATACGGCTGGTAATAAAAAGTACAGGCTTGTGTATACATTTCAAAGTACACACAGTAAATGTCGAATGCCTTATTTAGAGGACTTACACAAAAGCTGTTTGTTCTGCAGCCCCCACGGCTTAACTTTTTGGTGAGCAATCACGCTAACAAAGGGATAAATTTAGTCTCGCTTGATTTTCATGCAAATTCCAAGGCGTGGGCCAAACAAGAATTATTTTTTTCTTTGTCCTCGCAGTTTTAGTGTAACGACGAAGCTATAAACAGGAAATCGAGTTCTTTTTAATCTTCCGATAGTAATAAACCTGTCTTTTGTTTGTGACAGCTTTCTTCGCAGATGCTCTGTTCTTGATTTTTGTCTAATAGGTCATGGAAATTTAATTTGGCTTTTGTTCCCCGTTCAGTGAAAGAATGACAATCTTTTTTTATCATTGTGCCTTAATTGAACTAATCGTTTTATTTTGAAAGGGTTTACCACGGAATGAATCGATCGTCATCGGAGATAAGTTCATTTGAGAGGCAATTTGTGGATGTTTTTGACAAGGTTTATGCTTGCATTATACGGCGTTGGTTGTATAGTTGATATGGGAAAAGAGTGCCGCAAGCTCCCGTTAAAGTCCTGAAATTTGAATGGCGTTTGCTAAACAAACGTAAAACTGCTTTTCACGGAGTTATGATAAACATTACAATTTTTAAAGTAACTGTTGAGATTGGTAATCACTATAGATGCAACCCTTAAGGTAATATATTCATACAAGAAAAACTAGCTAATAATAAAATGATCTAAAAATCAGCTAAATTAGTGTTAACAATTAGGTCGATAACTATTCAGTCGAAAGAAAGAGAGAATTTCTTACAATTATTTTCGGGAAAGATGGCAACTGTTTTCTCAATCAATGTTTTCTTGTCTTTTTTTTGTCGCGTGAAGAAAGAATTTTGGAATTTTCTTGATAAAATATTGTGATTGGAGTAACCAATTCTTCACGACTTTTTCCGCAGGGACCTAATTAACTTGCCAGTTTCTCGTCTGACCTAAGTGCACATCTATTGCTGGCGGCATTAATTTATTTGGATGATATGCGCTTCTGTATAGAGCAATTTATTTCATCTCGGCAAACAAAAGGTTTAAAACGGAAATGCCAAATCAAATTATCACACAGTGTCATTTTCTTCAGTGTACTTTCTCCGTGAACCTCTATTCCTTCAATGTTGCAGTCCTGTTTTACTAGCACTATCAGAATTGCCGAGAGTTCCGATTAACAGCAAAATTAACAGGAAGGCTGTATAGACTAATTTTCAGAGCTGATATACAAATGTGGTTTGACTAGGAAAAGGAGATTGCGATGTAATGTTATTCAGGAGATAACAACCTACCCACAAACCTAATAAATCTTGTTAACGCTATGATAAGTTTCAAAATAAAGACATTTTCAATCACATTATCCTTTCAATGCGATAACAATTAGGTTTTATGCGATTTTTGCACACTTACATGGTTTCCTTATCTACTCCAAACAGGATTAACAATTTGAGTTAATTTGCATAACTTTTACACTCTTCCGGAATAAAGCGTTCCAGAGTAATTTATTCATGAGTAATCTATTTTTATTTCTGTTTTATTTAATTTACTAACCAATGAGCAGATCATAATTATTTCCAGCCCTCTGTAATTTCTTGTTAATTTTTCATTGTTTTTTTTTCCTTTTGACTGTTCGTAAAAACGTGCTATGACACGTCTTTAGAGAAGAAGGTAAACTCATCTTCAAGTCTGTAGCATTATAATTTCGATCGCACGTGTCGAAATTAAAATTGAACCCATGCGATCAGATGATCATTTCATCGTCACTGTAGTTAACGTTCCACTGATCCAATAAAAAAGCTGAGAGGAGATATCAATGTATAATAACAAGATGCTGTCTTGATGTACTAAGAAATTCTCAAACTGACTCAGATCCCGAGAAGTA